CAGCCCAGGGCCACAGATTTAATTTATTTGATTTATTTAATTTCTCTGGCCTTTTCTAGAGAAATTAAATAAGTTAAATAAACTAAATCTGTGAATTAGTTCTACTTTCTATAGAGACGGTTCGATCGTGAAATGGACCTAAAAGGTCCCTCTCACATATATATATATATATATAGGGGTCATATAGGGCTTAGGGTCTCCCAAAATTAGCGATAACTTTTCAGATGGTCGCTATAATAAGGAGTGTAGTATATTGGGCCCTACATTAGGGTCCCCGTATTTAGAGAAACTACCAACTATCCCCTTACAATACCGATATGACGCTACTTTCCATTTCATTTTCCATTTTCTTTTCCATTTTCTTTTCCATTTGATTCTCCATTATTGGAATAATATCCCCTCAATCCTTTTACCTTAAACCCCTTAACCCAAAGACTGCTCCCCTTGTTGGGTTATAATCCCCCCTGTTTAGTGTCCTAGATCCTAAACCCGCTTTAGAGAGAGTACCAGATGGCGAGGATGACGAGAAGAGCAAGGCTTCGACGGAATCCGTTACCAGCATGAGGCGCGTGGCTACCACCGGCAACCTTCTGGAGCCCCGAATCGGGGTTGCTGTTAAGGAACTACGGTTTAGGGTTAAGGAACTTAACTTCGATTACTATAGTAATGAAACTTTTTATTGTATGCCCATAGTATGGTAACCCTAAACCCTAAACCATAATCCCTAAAGCCTAGACCCCATAACAGTTATATTTTTACCCCTAATATGGTAACTTGATTCCCCCAGTTTCTATTTCATTTTCCATTTTCTTCGTCATTTAATTCTCCATTATAGGGGATAACCTAAACCCTAAACCCTAATATAGTAGTTCAATTTAAGTTCCTTAGCAGCAACTCAGGAATGGCCTGGAGGGCTTCAGATGCTTCCCTGGAGTCTGGAGCTGAAGGTTCTCTAGCCGTGGACAGCCCCAGGCCTCAAGAAACAGCGCAGGCCTTACCTGCATCCGGGCGAAGGCGCAAGAAAGGCTCGCTGTCCACGCGGCCATTCTCCGCAGTTACCAGGAGGCATATGCGAAAGGTTCGGAAGCAGCACGAACTGCTTGAGACCCCTCCGAACATGCCAAACGCGATGTTGCCTGCCGAGAATGAGGACGACGACGACGAAGACGTTAAGTTAGCATGCAGATTTGTTGCAAAGAAAAGGCTCTAGTTTTTACAGCATGTCCTTCCCATGTGGGCCACAGTCTAAACTCCTTAAACGGGCTTATATAGGGGACTACTATAGGGCTTGTTGAGGGGGATACTAGGAGTTTAGACTATAGCTCATGCGCAGCTAACGAGCTGTGGTGGAACATCTCGTCAGCCAGAATTGGCTTTGAGAACCTCGGTGCATGCTTGAAGCAGCATTGGGCACTGCCTGGAGGAGGCCTAGTTCAAGTTACTATATTGGGAAACCATATCAACAATCATGGATACTTTCTTTATATATATATACCCATTATGGCAACCTAACTCCTAACCCCCAAACCCTAGCAGTGTTGAGCAAGATGCTCAATGCCCGGCCTTCTCCAGAAGCATTTTTCTCATCGTGAATGTTCCCATCCGACTTGTCTTTCGAGGAAGGAGCATTTGTTTTGCAGGGAGCAAGGAGAGCCGGGTTGCTGTTAAGGAACTTAAATTAAGTTACCATAATGGGTATATATAGTAAATAATAGGGTTTCCCCAATATAGTAACTTAATTTAAGTTCCTTAACACAGAGAGGCCACCAGGTCAGGTGCTAGTGTAGAGTCGGAAAGTGATCCCACAGTGGCTAAGTGTGATGATGATTGCCGGCAGTAAGGTGAGCAGTGGCATGGCAATGTCCTTGCTTCTTATGGTAGTTTCCCAAAATAAGGGGACCCCAATATAGACCCCAAAATAATGTAATCCTTATTGTAGGGACCCCCAGCAAGGTACCCGTAATTTTGGGAAAGCCCCTTATTCTCTGAATGAAGCAGCCATGAGAGACGTGAAGCTTACAGCACTCCGCAGCTACACTTCCTCAAGTTCTTCAGCAAGCAGTGCCCCCTGGTGGGGAGCCAGGCCGGTAACGTATGGTGAATAAAGGGCTTAAGGTTTAGGGTTTAGGGTTTAGGGTTTAGGGTAAATGTGGGCAATGGGGAATTAGGGTTATATTGGGGTTATATCAGGGATGTATTGGGATGATGGAAAAGAAAATGGAAACCGCTGTTTAGGGTTAAGGGTATTCGTCACCTTTTCAAGTATGTCTCGCTGTTTCTTGTCGGAGGTCTTGTTTGAGAGGTATCTCTTAGGAGGACCCCCCACCCTGTAATACTGGTATAAGAGGAATATAAGAGGACCCTAATATAATCCCTATTATCCCTTATAGTCACTATTACTATATAACCCCAATATAAACCCTATTATACTATAGTAGTTTCCATTTTCTTTTCCATTATCCCACTAGAACCCCAATATATTACTGGGTGGGGGGTCCACCTCTCTCGCTTCAGGCAACATGCAGCTGTCTCGGCGAGCCTTTACTGTGGCTACTGCTGCTGCAGCTTGCTTCACATCTAATATATTGGGGTTATATTAGGGTTATATTAGGGGTTGTTATATTAGGGTTATATTAGGGGTTATATTAGGGTTATATTGTGGTTATAGTGGGATAATGGAAAATAAAATGGAAACTGCTGCATTGTATAAGGTTTAGGGTCTAGGGTTGTATTAGGATAATGGAAAAGACAATTGAGTAGTATGTTATTTGGGGACACTATGGTACCCAATATAGAGTAAGATTATACCCTCCTTTTGGGGTATAGTATTCTATATAAGGAATATAATCTTACTGGGGTTAACCACTCATCTGGTACGTGGGCTATGTGGCACTGAAAGGCACAGCACAGGCACTGCCAGATAGCAGCATGCAGAATTGAGCTACACCTAGCTGAAATGTCCATGGAAGTCTGGGTTCCTGTATTCCCCCAGTTTCCATTTCATTTTCCATTTTCTTTTCCATTTGATTCTCCATTATAGGGGGATAATATAGCTTAATTTAAGTTCCTTAACAGCAACCCAGAAGTGCGAGCTCAGGCTTTTGTGGTCGACATTGCCATTGCCTTGAGTATATATTATATTGGAGGCCACTCTAAAAAAGATGCTGGCGTGGATGAGTATGAGTCCGCGCACGCCTCAGACTTTGAATCGGTATTCTCCTGAACCTCCCTTCTCCAAATATCTTCAGAGATGGATCTGTTCAGAACACAGGCTACATCCGACACCCTGACCTGCTGCCTTGTTAGGATTGTAGCCGGCATCTCAGACTGCCATGCCAACTGCACGTCTGCTCTCTGGCGGGGAGTTAGGTGCTGGCTGTCAATCACTCCGTGTGAGCCCGACTGAGGTGTTTCCATTGATGGCCAGCCTTGCGTTCTTTGTCTACCGTCGAACGGAGGCGTACTGGATTCGACCCGCTTGCCAACAGCTCTGAATCTCAGTTCTGCTTCAGGCCTGCTCCCCACTTCAGCAATTTCGCGTGGCACAGGTGCTACCGCAAGGAATCTTTGTTTGTCCGAAGTGCCGCTTCTCTCGTCCTCAGGAGTCAGTACGAGAGGTTACCAGCAATGGGACCAACGGCGACTTGCGAGTTCCCTTGGCGGAGGCTCCAGAAAAATGCCGCCATACGTGTCATGCCTTTCTTTTGGGTTGGAATCACGCCCACTTTGATCCGTGCATTCTGGGTGCAGGTGCCGATGCAGGCCGTGAATGGTGCAAGCCTCGTCCTTGAAGTCGCAATGCACAATTCACAAAACTTCGGACGATGTGAAATCATTCCTAGGTTCCCCTTCCTCCTCGATTGCATCCAGCACTAGTGTGGGCAGCCTGGATTTGGTAGAAGAGAGGGAACTGGTGCTGGCATGCTATGGCCAGGAAAAGAGTGCCTTCGAGATGAACCGGGACCACGCTCTGCTCATGAAGCGGGCTGAGCGCAGGAAAGAGATCATCATGCTTGTGCTGTTTGCAGTTAGCACAGGCGCTCCATGCAAAAGCAGTCGCAAGATTCCCCACCTGGGCACATGTGGACCTCTAGGTCTCTAAACCCAGATTTGGCAGGCATGTCATTCTACAATGGCATCAAATGCATTGTGTACCACTACGACCCGCGCTTTCTGGCCTTGCAGGGCACACTGCAAGCTTTCACAATGATCATGATCAATCTGGCCGCGTGCTAGCAAGTAATAGTAGCACTAGTAATAATATTAATAATAGTAATAGTAAGAATTATGATAGTAGCAAAAATAATAGTAATAGCAATAGTAGCAAGAGTAGTAATAAACGTTTCAGAGCCCGAACGAGTGTGAGCAGCTAGGACTGCTTCAGTATGCTCAGAGATTTGAGCCAAGGAATATTTCATGTTGAAAACCTTGTTGAACAAGTTTACGGAGGAACAGGGAGAGTCTGGGCCCAAGCTGCTTCTTCTGGTGCAGAGAGCAGTCCTTCATGATGATGGTGTTGGTGGTGGCACTGGTGATGATAATGATGATGATGATGCTCAAGCAACTGCTGCTGCTGCTGCTTCTTTTTTTTTTCTATGACTACTATTGCTACTATGAGTACTCTTGCTACTACTACTGGTTCTATTTCTATTATTGTTACTATGACTATTACGATTACTATTATCATTGCTATTACTGCTACACCAAGGCTTATTCCACACATCCACATGCACCCGCTCTTCTTTGAGACTGGCCTAAAGTGCCATGGCTGCGATGTCTGCAGCGACCAGATGAAGGCAAGCTGTTCGCATATTTAGGGTCAAGATTGGGATATATCAGGATTAGGGTTTCCTGAAATTAGGAGACCCTTTTTGCGGGACAAGGATAATAGTGTTTGGGGTTTGCATTGGGGTCCCTGTATGGAAGCTACCATATGGAATTCCAGCCGAATTGTTTTGCGTCCAACATCGTTTTGACCAAAACCCTCAACCCTAAGCCCTTAGTCCTGTTGCCAGGGGCCGCACTACATCGCGTACAGATGCAGGACGTGCGACTTCGACCTCTGCCCAAGGTGCTACAAGCAGAAGCTTGGTTGCAATTGGACATGGCGGCTTTGCCAAGCCTTTGTCCTCACTGATGCTGCGTGAGGAAGGACAAGCACAGCGCCAAAGGGTTCGGAGCACGGTCCGTGCGTCGCGATGGAGAGCAAATCACCACCTGGACTTACTTCAAGCGCATCGTGTAGCTTGCCATTGCCTAGTTTGCTGTGTAAGGTTGTTTGGTTATGTGATGTGTTGCTGGGCTCGTGCGAGCACACGTCAACCTTGACAAAGGACACTCTCCTTGGACTTCTGGCCTACACTGGTGGCAGCCGTCGTCTGTTTGGTCATCACTCAGGGGTTGCAGATCTTTGCTCCGAATGTGCAGGGATCCATTTTCGATGGAATCCTGTCATACCTCCAGAAGCCAGAGGAGGGAAGATCAAAGTTCGAGTACGCCATGCTGACATATGTCATCATCAACGTTCTGCAAGGAGCCTTCAGCGGCTTGAAACTGGGTTGCAGATTAGGTTGCTATAGTCAGGAAACCCCATTATTTACTATATACCCATGTGACGGTAACTTAAGTTAAGTTCCTTAAATCCTTACATTCCCCCAGTTTCAATTTAATTTTCCATTTTCTTTTCTATTTGATTCTCCACTCTTGGGGGATAATATGGTAACCCTTAACCCTAAACCCTAAGATAGTAGTTTTGATTTTATTCTCCATTAGCCCTAAACCCAAACCCTAAAGCCTAAACCCCACACCCTTAACCCCCATATTAACCCTACAGCAACCAGGAAAGCTCTGGCCCAAGAGCTTGTGCAGCGACGTATGGCCTGCTCAGTACGTCTGAAGCTCTTTGCAAGCGTGGTGCGCATCTGGGTTCCTGTTAAGGAACTTAAATTCAGTTAATTAAGTTACCATAATGTGGGTTTATGGAAAAAATGGGTTAATTAAGCTACCATAACATGGGTTTATAGTAAATAATAGGGTCTCCTGGCTATAGTACCTTAATTTAAGTTCCTCAACAGCAACCCAGGCATGGACATCGCCTTCTTTGATACGATGCACACTGGCCAACTCACCTCGCGCCTCACAAACGACGCAAGCAGCTCTGAAGTGCGTTTTGAGCAAAACTTAGCTTTTGGAGTTCGGCAGTTTCAGGTTGATAACGAGGACAGGATACCACGCCAAAATAGTAGCTTCCATTTGCTTTCCCATTATCCCAATTCAACCCCTATATAGCCCTATATAACCAATAGAACCCCAGAACCGGGTGTGAATCCTTACCCCCAAGCCCAGGCCAAATGACTCAACCGCTGAGCACATTGATGAATGACCTGCTGGCAAACATTCTCTTGCTGGTGCCCGGCTTGCCTTTACATACCTTTATAGTCCCCCTTAAGTAGATAGAATATGGCTTTGGGTATATTATACTAAGATCCCCACATACCCCATATTCTATCTACTTCAGGGGGACTATACCTTTACCACGATAGTCAAGATTACCAACCCTAAGATGGAGTCTTGGGCGGCTGACGCTGAAAATCCTATGGGGGTTAATATGGGGTCTACCTAGGGATATAGGGGTTATATAATGAATATATAAGGGTTATATATGGTAATGGGATTAAGGGTCCCTATAGGTAGGGGAGACAAAACAGAAGGATGACCATGATGCAGACCGTGATATTTGAGAGGTTCTAACTGGGCCTTCAGTTGAAAAGGGCAAGACAATGAAACACGATAACGCTAATCCCATCTCTATTAGCCACGCAAGGTGAGGTAGCTGTCTAGTGATGACAGCGGCCTCAGAAGCAACGTGAGTGACTGTTGCGATAGGAATTGCGACTGTCGTGAATACGGCGGTGGCCGCGGGGCCAACAGCCATAAAGGTAATCGCTGCAACCTTAACAGGTATGGCAAAAACATGCAACATCACTAGTGGCAGAAAAGAACAGAAACTGATAACAATCATATCATCATTAGCCCCAGAACTGCCACTGCAAGCATCTAAGGTTGGTGGCATGTTGATGGCCTTCAGGACCTCTTGGAAGCTGTCGATTCTGGCGCTGACAATTGTACCTCCGATCACATATAGCTACCGAGCCTATGCCAAATGGGCGAGGAAGATCACGCGATCTATTTACTGTGCTTATGGTGAGGCGAACAGTACTGCAACAGATGCCATTAGCAATATTCGGACAGTCCGTGGATTCTCCACTGAAGAGCATGAGGCCTTCAAGTACTCAGACAGTATCAACACGGCCTTGGGCCATGGAGTGAGGAATGCCTATGTTGGAGCGTCTGTAACGGCTTTCTCAACATACCTTAACTTGGGTACGGCCGTGCTCATCCTTTGGTATGGTGGCCAGCTGGTCTGTGATGAGAAGGGGCGAGTCATGAGCATTGGTTCGCTCATTACCTTTCAGCTCTACTGGAACATGATGAACAACGCCTTTATCGCTCTTGGGAACGTCTTCAACGATTTAATTCGTTCGTCATCAGCAGCAGAGCGTGTGTTCTCGCTGATCGATGCGCGCCCGGATGTCAACCCAGATGATGGGGAAGAGGTCACTCGTGATACTGTGAAGGGCCACCTTCAGCTTCGCGGCATTCAATTCCGCTACAGGTCTCGGCCTGACACGATGGTCCTGAAGGGCATTGACATGGACATGCCTCCAGGGACCACTACTGCATTGGTAGGCAAAAGCGGAGGTGGGAAGAGCACACTAGTTCACCTGCTCATGAGGTTCTACGAGCCAACTGGTGGGGAGATCTTCTTGGATGGCAGGAGCATGACAGCGCTATCTTCCAAGAGCGTTCGACGATGCTGTGGCTTCGTAGCTCAGGACACGCAGCTGTTCTCCTGCAGTGTAGAAGAGAATCTTGCGTATGGACTTGGCAGAGACCACACACTGGACGAAGTCATAGAGGCTTGCCGGGCTGCCAACGCACATGAGTTCATCCTGGACATGGAAGAAGGCTACGAAACCCGCGTCGGAGAGAAAGGGATCATGTTATCCGGAGGCCAGAAGCAGCGTTTGGCCATCGCCAGGTGTTTCCTCCGCAAGCCCAGAATGCTTTTCCTTGATGAAGCAACATCGGCTTTGGATGCGGAAAACGAGGCGATTGTGCAAGGTGCCCTAGAGACATTGCTCTCTGAGCTGAATAGCACTGTGGTGCTCATCGCTCATCGCCTTAGCACGGTCATCAATGCTACCCAGATCTGCGTTGTCCACAAAGGATCCATCGTGGAGAAAGGTAATCATGATGAGCTGGTGGCCCATGGTGGCGTGTATGCTCAACTTGTCAGCCGCCAGCTGTCGCGTGATGCAAGCGCTGTGATGGATTCCAAGAAGGAGAAACCAAAGAACTCCTCGAAGCTCGTGGGTAAATAATCGAGTTTTTTCCAGTTTCTTTTCCATTATCCGTATATTACCCCTATATGAAATTATTACTATTATGGTTACTACTATTATTAGTCTTCTTCTTCTTATTGCCCCTTTCAGGCTGTCTTGGCTGCATGTAGCAAGCATTTGCTGCCCGATGCAAATGTGATGTTGCCTCTGAGGAAAAACACAGAGATCGATGATCCAAGCTCAGTTCCTTTCTTTTGCAGAGTGTGATGGCTTTGCTTGTGCAGGCCAAAGAAGTACTTGCCAACTTGTCTCTAAGGATCTAATTGAGGAAATGGAGCAATCAGGCAGGTTTCCTGCTTGCCTTCATGTCCTTTGGGTCCCTTCACGTTGGAGTTGCCTAACATTGAGCCCTAGATTGTAGTTTCCCTTTTCTTTCCAGTATTTCTATAAAGCCCGAATATAAACCCTATAGTATCCCTGTATAATCCAAACCCTAAACCCTAAAGCCTAAACCCTAGGCTAGTGAAGTTCAGTACTGGCAGGGGCCAATCTCGGATTGGAGAAGTGAATTCTCCTGCAGCTCAGAGGCCTTCTAGACACGGGTTTGGGGCTTGGGGTTTAGGGTTTAGGGATATGTGCATATATATATATACATATACATATATGTGTATCCCCAATAGTGGAGAATCAAATGGATAAGAACATAGAACATTAACTAGAAGCCGGGATTATATAGGCGTATGTATGGTGATGGTTTGGGGCCTTCCCAAAATTCGGGGTACCTTCAAACGGGGTTACGGGGGATAGATAGGAGTTACATAGATGAGGATTAGCGTTTCGCAAAATTCGGGGTCCTCTTTCGGGGGTTCCCATCAAAGGATTACAGTATTTGGTATATAAGCGGGACCCTAAACCCTTAACCCTATACCCTAGAGAAACTACTCATTGCTCGGATTGGAGTTGGGGAGAGGAGGGCAAAATCTAAGAAATCCCAGCAGAGCCCCACTAGGTGAGCTATAATCTAAACTTAAATTCCTTAAAGGGGGGTTATATAGGGGATTATATAGGGGACTACTATAGGGGTAGTCGGGGGTTCTATAGGGGATTATGGAGGGGACTACTATCGGGGTAGTTAAGGAGGATACTCGGAGTTTAGACTACGGCTCAGGTGAGCACTCCGTGCAGAAGGAGCTTTGCTTCCCTGAGCAAACCCATTTTCCAGAGGTAGCGAAGAGACCTCTGAAGAAGAATTAGCCGTTGCTGACAACATGCTGACCGGCTGTTCTGTCATCTCTATGATTCAATGAACCAATCGTTCTTGTGACTGAAGGAGCTGAGTAATAAGTATGGGTGCTCTTCAACTGCTCACTCTTGCGTGTTGTTACCCTGCCTGTTGTTGTTATCGTTATTCATATGGCGGTTTCCATACCCGCTCAAATGTAGATCCCCAAATACTGTACGTAATCCTTATTATCGGGACAGCCAAGAAGGTACCCCAAATTTCTGGAAACCCTCATATGGTAGTTTCCCAAAATAAGGGGACCCCAATATAGACCCCAAAATACTATAATCCTTATTATGGGGACCCCTAAAAAGGTAACCCTAATTTTGGGAAACCCTAACCCCTATAATC